CTTCTAAAAGTGTATCATCGACATAATTTAAGCGCGTCATTCGATATGCTTTTAGCGCACTTAAACTGTGCCAATGATACACTTTTAGAAGTGGCACACAAAAAGCGTCCAAAAATGCTACCGCAGTGTGCCAAAAGCACACTAGAAATGTGTCAGTGGCACGGTAAAAGCATGCTAACAGCACATAAAAAGCATACTTTCGGTACACTTTTTCCATGTCATTGGCACAATTTAAGTGTGCTTTTTCTAAAAGTATTCTTTTCCGGCACAGCGAAGAGATAGTTTATAAAAGCATACTAGTACACTTTAAACAAAGATGTTTTTTACAGAATCTAAAAAAAGGCTTCGAATTTTTCAACCATTTCTAAACCATTTTAAGGTTCCACACAGAAGGGGTTTAGTACGGATCCTCTGTATTTTTTCGTTCAGAAAAGTCCTTTCGTATACACCTTTACGTCTAAGTTTTCTCGATCGTTAGTTACATGCTAGAAACCGATCGATCTTCTCTTTTTTTATTCGCAAGTAATTCTCTTCTTAATTCTTGCTCATTACGCGCTTTTAAGGAAGTTTAGAAACTTTACTGGAAGTATAACAAGAACAAAGGAAAGTGGCATATTTCGATTTCTTTTTTAAACTGTTTGTATGAAATTTGCATAGCAAAATATTGGACTAGTCATAGTCTTAGTTTTCAATCAGAAGGGATCTGTATAAAGGCTTTATCGACATTTCTGAAATCAGAGCCTTAGAAAACCAAGTCTTCCAGTTCGATCGAGAAATATCTTACAAACAGTTTCATTGTATAGAGTCAATATTTCTGAACAATGACATTTTTTCATAAAGCCGTATTCCATTTACAATCTCAAAATCACCAGAATTAACAAAGAACACAAAAAATATGGCTTCGAGACCTTTCGTAAATTGAATGCAGCTTGATGAAAAAATGAAAAATGTCTTTGTTTAGAAATGTTAACTCTATACGATGAAACTGTTTGCAAGATGTTTCTCGATCGAACGGGAGGACTTGATTTTCTAAGGCTCTGATTCCCGAAATGTTTATGAAACCTTTATACATATCGCTTCTAACTGAAAACTCTTACAGTTATTCGAATCTTTTTGATCTAACGGTCATGGAATGCCGTTGCTACGGATCCCGTCGAATTTTTGGGTCAGTTTTATTTTGCCTTAAATACGTTGCCAAAGAATTCTAATCAATAATTATCCATTCAAAATAAAATTGAGCTTGTAATCGTCCAAATATACTTGGACTACACTTATACTACATTAGTGCTGAAGTTATTCAAATCACTAATGTAGTCTAAGTGTAGTCCAAGTGCATTTAGACGATTACAAGCTGAATTTTATTTTGAATGGATTGATTAGAATTTTTTTGCAACGTATTTAAGGCAATTCGACGAAAAATCACGAAAGAAAGCACTTTGTTTTTTGTTGGCCGTTAGTAGGGTTGCTACTTTACTTTTACTAATTATTACATTATCCGGTAAAAGTAATAAACGTTTGTTACTTATTACCGGTAAAAGGTAATAAATCTTGTTGTTTTATTACTTATTACTTCTTTATGTAATAATTTTTCATCATTTTACTTACTTACTTTTTGTACTTTTTACTTATTATTTTTACTTATTTTTACTACTCATTACTTTTTGTTACTTTCCGTCTTATTAGTAATAAGTAAAGTAATAAAAGATTATTACTTGTTTCCAGGTAATAACTAATACATTTTATTACTTATCATTTGGTAAAGAACAGTAAAGTAACATCCCTAGTGCCGCGCGTGTTGGATAGACGGACACGTGTGTCACGTGCAAAACAAATGCCAAAAAAGCCATTTTTTTGTTATAGTGACTCTGGAAAACTCGCTCAAGATCTATGAAAAACCTAAATTTTTTGTTTTTGTCTTTTTTTCTGCAATGAGAATGTTTTTACGACACGTGCGGCACATTGCAGTGTTGGATAGAAGTTGAACAATTGCAAGTAGCACCAAAAATAGAATTTCGTTTACCACACTTTGACATGGTCAACATTCCCTGAAAGTTTGGTTCAGATCAGACCTATCTGATCTGAGATAGGTTTCTGACCTGCGAGGGGCCTGAAACCTCCGCTACTAACGGAAGAACCAGAATAAATAATTCTCTTTATATTTTCTGTATAACTGTTTTATTTTTTATCGTGTAGACTGAACGTTTTTTATAGAAAGATTCGCCATTTCATTTTAAAAATCGTATAAAATATTTTTCTATATACTGTAAAAAGAAAAAAAAATATGAAGCTCATACTGCGAAATTTTAATCACATCAAATTTCTAATCCAAAATATAGTTTTTTCAATTGTAGCTCGTCATATTTTTGAGTATATAAAAAGAGAAGATAGGCATTTTATGGCCCTTGCAAAGCTCTATTAACTGGTACTACTTAGAACTCCTCATAATCACAAGGGATTTGGGAAAAATGTTTTTTTACTTTTGACGATTTATCAAAAGTCATTCTGTTTGCAGTTGCAATCTACACGGTAAAAAATAAAAGAGTTATGTAAAAAATATAAAGAGGATTATCTATTCTGTTCCTTCCGTTATAAACTAGTTTTTCAAAGATCCTGTACAAAATCTATTTAGGAAAATACTTTTTAGATTTCTTTTCGTTATAACAACATGTTCCATAGTCTCGTTTATCGAATGACCACAGATCTCTATCACTTTTCTATCAGACATTATTAAGAAAATGGCTAGATCTCTCGTATTTTGAAATGGATAGTAGATGTGCTCGCCTGGAAAAAGGCATTGATTATCACCATGAATTCTATAGACGCCTAGGAAGAACTAAATCTTTTTCACTTCTCTTCGAACCGTTCTGACTCTTCGCCTATGAAAGTATGCTCACCCTTTATCCACGGCGAAGATTTTTTTGAAGATCCAGGAAAGACGACCACTAAAGTAGTCCTCTTGAGTGCTCACTATGCCTATTCCATACTTATAATAAAATGAAGTTGCCTAGGTGGCAAAATACAGAATGTCCACAGTCGTAGACATTAGGGGCGAACATCATGAAAAATGCAATTTTTTTCTCTGTATTGTCCGAACGTGTTCTGTCAAAATGTTGAATTTTGACAGAAACAAGGTCATATTCAGAATCAGGATCAAAAACTGGGTCAAATGACATGGGAATATTGGAGTTTGAGTTTGGGATTTTTGAAAAAAACGGAAAACGTCGAGGTCATTCAAACCTTCTGAGACCTATGCCATTCGACCCCGTTTTTGACTCTGATTCTGAATATGACCTTATTTTTGTCAAAATGTTGAATTTTGATCGACAAAATGGCAAAGTACAGACCCAATTTCAACGAGTTTTTCATTGAATTCATAAAAATTGAATTTTTTGACAACGAAGTAAGATTTTTCATACATACTTTTTTCTCGTATATCAGTTCGTATGAAGTATGAAAGAAAATTTTATTTTCTATATTCTAGTACTAGATAGCCTTGCAGGATTAGCCAGCGGACATTATACCATCCTGCTCGTCTTCAACAGTTCTCAAAGTCAATTTGAGTTTTAAAATTTCCATAATCCGTTCTCTAGACCCACTTCTTGATGGGGAGTAAGAAAAAAATTGTTTTGGAATTTTAAAAATAGAATGAATGGTTGAATTTAGAGTTCTGTTCAAAATTTTACCTATTTTCACCTATCGTTGAAAAATTGATAATTTAAAACTTTTTTAACTAAAAAATGTGTTCCAAAATTGTGGGATTAAGTTTTTTCTATGCAACTCGATTTTCTCTATTCAACCATAGCAAGAAAACTAAAACTAAAATTCTACACCTTACAAGAAAAGAGTCGAAAGAAGGACTGTGTATATGTTTAAAAATGAGTACTTTCTATGTCATTCTCCCTAATGTCCAAAGGTGTGCACATTTCATTACTGGACACGGTGCATCAAGACAACTTCACAGAAAATTTCTTTTATTGTGTAATGGTAGAAAACATTCTTATAGCAATAGTTATCGACAACTGAAAACCCTTATATTGCTAAATCTATGAAAAAAGCTTTTAAAAAAATTCAAAAATTTGAAATTCTTTAATTTTAACAATTAATTATCTCGATGAAGATCCATAGAAAAGAAATTTTTCTTTTTTTTACTAATCGAGAGCTTATGAAGTCTCTTAGGTTGGAACAAAATCTAGTTTTTATATGATGCTTCGTGACTTTTACATATCGATTTTATTAATGTTTCAGGGGTGTGTAAAGGGTTAAATATATTTTCTAGTATTTCATTTAGTCAACAACCATTGGCATTATCATCTCCATCTCCTCCATCATCTCCATTATTAACCATGTTACCACAAAATTTTAATTTGTTATTAAACTTAAAAAATATTACAAACCTTAATTTGAGTTCAACTGATATTAAAAATCAATGTTTGGACATTCTAATAGATAAACTACAATTACTTGATACATTGGATTTATCATTATGTCGATCATTAACACAATTTGGAATATTGGAAAAAACTCGTTATCGTTTAAAATCGTTAAATTTATACAATTGTTGTTTACATTTATCAAAACCAAACATCTATGAAGTAATTATGAAACTTGAACAATTAGAATATTTAGATATTAGTGATGATACAATGCATCAAGGTACATTTAATAATTTATATTCAACAGAAAATTTAAATTTAAATCAGGATGATTATGATGCAAATAATAAAAATACTGGAAATCAACCTCATCAGTTTGATATTAATTCATTATTAAAAAATTTTTCATGTCTTCCCGTAATAAAACATATTGATTTAAGTGGACGAAAACATATTCATAAATCTTATTTGCGAGAATTTTTATTATTACATCCACATATACAATTTCTTGGTCTATTTTTAACAAATATTAAACAACCATCATTTATGATTGATAAAGATGATCCATGTTATTCAAAAAATCGACGTTATACATATGATATTCATGATATATTAACAAATCAAACATCAACAACTACAACATTAGCAACAAAATATGAGCCATTTGTATTTGAAGCAATGAAACGTTATCGTGATCGACCAGGATTTCTTCAAAAAATTCTCTATTGTCTATTTTTTATAACAAAAAATTTGAAAACAACACGACAAGATCTTATTGAATTAATATTAAAATCAATGGCTACACATCCAACATTACAATCTGTTCAAATGGCATCAACAGCATGTATCTATAATCTTACACGATCACCAATAACAGAACAAATTCATGTCAAATGGTTAAGTCAAATTGTAGATGCAATAATGAATGTTATGCATCAATATCCTCACCATTTACAAGTATATATTACTTATCATAAAATATGAAAATATTGAGAAGTTTCTCATCAGTTCTGGAATCATATCAATTAGATTTCATTTGACTTGAATACGTAATTCAAAAAGACGCTTTTTTTCTACCTTGTCTTGCTTTGTTCTACAAACTTTCATCTCGTTTCCACTTTGTGTTCGGTGAAATCTTTCAAAAATTTTGTCTCGTAAGACTCGTTTAATGGATTTTCTCTTCGTCTTTGCCCCGTCTGAAATTTTTTTTCAAGCACGATAATTTAAGAATAAGTCACATAAAACAACGCTTTATTGAAAAAAAAAATAATGCATATCAGTGGCTCTATTGATATACAGTACAATATCCCACGATACAAAAGCAAAAAATATTATTTTTACCATATATTTCAGATAAGTCTCGCTACATCTCAATCGTTCAAAAAAAAAACATACTGTTCGGTTCGTCTAACGAGTCTCACGACTTTTCTCGCACTTCGTTCATTTCTGTTGTGTTATTTGGACAAGAAGATGAATAATAAAAAAACAATTATTTACACTTCATTTTAGCTGCAAAAAAACTGTTTATTAACATTATGTAGTGATCGTATATTACATGATCCGGCATATGATCGTTATCTCTGTGCAACATTGGTAATGGATAATCTACAAAGTTATAACGATATAACAATAATACAGCCTGGTGTAGCTATTCTGTCATTGTTAGCTACAAAAGTAAGTTTAAATGTCCATCTATTATCTTTCGTATAAGTCTAGATGTATTTTATTTTAGTTAACTACTGCTCAAGGTGTGAAATTAGCTGCTTCTTCGACGAATATGCGTCGACTGTTGTATTTAGTTGAACGTCAAATGGAGCGATTACAAACAGAAATGATGCAACAACAACAGCAACTGCAAACAGCAGATGATCCGATGGGAATGATAGTAAATGATGATCAATTAGCTCATGGAATTCCAACTTACCATCAATCATCATTACAACAACAATATATTGGTGATGATACATTTCGTTTTTGTTTAAGTGTATTGTGGAATTTAACAGATGAGAGTCCAATTGTTTGTGAAAAATTTATCACATGTAACGGTATACAAGTATATCAACGTATACTAGAAATATTTGCTACAGATACAATTACTATAACAAAAATTGTTGGACTATTTAGTAATATAGCTGAAGTTGAACACCTAAGAATTTATTTACGAACACCATTGATCATAGAACAAATTGAATATTTTTTATTGAATAGTGCCATTGATATTGCCTATTTTTCAGCTGGTATTCTCTCCCATTTATTATTAGATGAACATGATAATAGAGATGATAGTGTTGATAATGATCATTATAAACTAATAAGTGACGAAATGAGACGAATTATTACATTATGGCGAAATCCAGATACCAGTATGGTTACTTATAGGTAAAATGATAATTTAACTCTTTGAGTACGGAATTATTTTTTCAAAAAATAAACCCGCAAAAGTAGCGACACACCTGCAACTCAAGAATCATGATAGCTAGGGACTGCTAGTTTTGTATGATCATAGCTCTTACCGAATGCTGATTACCCACCAAGTTTGCGCCTCTTTTATCGGATGGTTCATGAGATATAAGCGATTTATTTCTTTTTCGTCAAATATCAATAGCTCTTGATCTGAGAAAAAGATGAAAACTTTTTCTTTTTACAAAAATGCAGTCACGACTCTACTCTATCTACAATATGAATTTCGTGAGTTGGCTGTTAGGAGTCAGTGAAATACAACTATTTTACGGATGAGGTCGATTTTCTTTTGTTGAAAAAGTCGAAGTTCTTTGGGAAAAAATACCATCTAGGAACATCATTTTGACTTCAAATTTAAAGGCTCTACAGTATGTGTAGACTATCCAGCCAAAGTATGAACATTTACTATTGTGTGGTTCTGGAAATTCATTGAGGACGAGCACTCACGATTGAAACATATGTAGAAGCGCGAGGGCGATGAACTAATGGTCGTTCTTTGTACTATAATATTTACATTGAATGTACATCATAATCATGAAAAAAAGCGTAGGGGAAACTTTTGTCAGAAAGATTATATACTCACCTCTGACCTTCTCTATTTCACTTATTGCGCCCACATTTCACTCGCCATACATTTTCAAGTAAAACTAATACTATATTTATGATCAGCAGACAAAACTGGGTCATTTATTTCATGATCAATACGTAATATTTACGAAAGCTATTCAGAATGCAAAAAAATGGCTGTGGTACATATGGTGTACCACCCGTCCTCAAAGGAGTAAAACTTGATTTATTTATATCTTTATTTTAGATCATTCAAACCATTTTTACCATTGCTCAAATGTCAGATATCTGCTGTACAATTATGGGCTGTATGGGCGATATATCATGTTTGTAGCACCGATGGTAAAACTTAATCTAATTATTCAAGTAAATTGAAGATTATCATCGATGTTTTTTGAGTATGTTTAGGTGCTCGCTATCGTACAATTATTCCTGAAGAAAAAGTTATTGAAACTATGTTCGCATTGTTGGAGAGTCATAGCAATAAAGATGATCTATTTTTTGTGCAATTAATAAATGATACACTTCATGTTTTGTATCAAAATTGCATATAATCAATAGTGGAATCGACAATAGAGAAGAAGAAAAAAAAAACTGTTATTAGTTAAAATCAGACAGTTTTTTGTTTTTTTGTTTTTTAAATATGACTTAAATGTAAAACAGTGAATTCTTTTTGTTGTAAATATTATATTTTGAGCATCGGGACACAATACGGGACACATTTATGTTTTCGTTCCGAATTTCATTTCTTTTTCTCTTGTTTTTGATTATTCTCGCCTTATATTGTGTGTCATCATAAATATATTATCCGAGCTATTTCCATTGTGGATGATGTGACGATATCTGTCTGTTATTATTGTTTTTTTCTACTTGTAAATAGGTTTATATTTATATTTTCTATTTGTCAGAAAAACTCGTTTTGATTTTTTTGTTTTACGGTTCTATTCAAATGATTTGTGTTTCTCAATTAGTCAAAAAAAAAAACAAACACAAACAAATGTTTTGTTGTTCATCTTCATAAGTTCGATGGTTCGATTCACAGTAAAACTATTCAACATGTCCAATTGTTTATCTTATTTTTTCTTTTTCTAATCATCTTTTAAACATATTTAAGTCTATTGTGGAATTTAACAGACAAGAGTCCAACTATTTGTGAAAAATATATAACATGTAACGGTATACAACTATATCAACGTATACTAGAAATATTTCCTACAGATACAATTACTATAAACAAAAAATTGTTGGACTATTTAGTAAAATAGTTGAAGTTTATGAACACCGTTGATCATGGGATCAAATTGAATATTTGTTTTTATTGAATAGTGCCATTGATATTGTCTATTTTTCAGCTGGTATTTCTCTTCCATTTATTATCAGATAACACTGTGATAGAGATAATATGGCTGATTAGATACTTTCTGTGCAATTATAGGCTATACGGACATTTTATCATGTTTGTAGTACAAGTATTTGTGAGGAAAAACTTATTACAACTATGTTTACTTTATTGAAGAATTACAGAGACAAAGAAGATTTATTTCTTTTTTTTTTTGCTATTCAATCATTTAAGGATCTATGATTGATATTTTGATAGAAAAATTGGACATGAGTAAAGTTTTTAGATTTTGTGTTTCTGATTGATCTTATTTATAAAAAATCTTCAGGTTTGTAATTAGTAATCCAGCTTGGCAGTATTTTTTAAATTCGCTTTTATCTTCTTTTCTTTTTCCAAGACGATTTTTCTTTTGTGCAATAGTTTTTGCTTGTGGTATTATGCACAAAATATTAGAAAAAAAAAATGTTTACATCAATGTGTATTTTTTTTTTTTGAACCAGATACAATAACCATTTTTTTTTCTTGTGTTAATCCAGCATTTCTATTTGGTTTATGAATTATTGAACTGTCTTTGTTAAAATCACATAGTTTATACAAGAAAATAGTGGGTATGGTTAGCATTTATGCTAATACAAAAAAAAAAAATTAAATAAAGTTGAATAAGCATAATTTCACTGTTGTCTTTTTCGATTGTATTTAATATACAAATATATTATTCTGTTCGGTTGTATCGTATGACTGTACAAAAAAGAAAATATGAATTTTACCTTTATGATTAACTTTCGTTTGTCAAATTTACTATCTAGGAAATTTGAGATTGAAATTGAGTTCAGAATTTTAATTCATTTAAAATGAATATCGTTTTGCACTTATTACTGTTGTTTATGGTTTATTTCTAGGTTTTCTTGATAATTCAAATTTCATTTTTAATATTTATTCACATTAAAAACAACAACAACAAATTAATCATGGCTTATCGTGGTCCACAAACGAAAGTTCAAAAAGTGATGGTAAGTCATCATTCTTTAATTGTTAAATGTTTTTTATCATTTATTATTTTCTTTGTGTGTGTGTGTGGTTAGGTTCAACCAATTAATTTAATATTTCGTTATTTACAAAATCGTTCACGTATTCAAGTTTGGTTATATGAACAAACACAATCACGTATCGAAGGTTATATTATTGGATTTGATGAATATATGAATTTAGTTTTGGATGATGCTGAAGAATTATCAATGAAAAAAGGTACAAGAAAGAAAATTGGTCGAATATTATTAAAAGGTGATAATATTAGTCTTATACAACAATTACAGCAACCAGCCGGTAGTACGACCACAACAACAACGACGACGACAGCTCAATCAAATAATACTACATCAACAACGGCCTAAATCTACATTGTGAAAATTTCATAGAAAAAATTAATTAAATCTCATTGAGAATGAGAATACAAGAATATTTTCTTGTTGTCTTTTCGTTTAACTTGTAAATGCTCTCTCTCTCTCTCTCTCTCTCTCTCTCTGTGTCTCTATTTGTTAAAAAATAAAATGAAAGAAACTAGTCACGATTTTAAATTTTAATATTAAAATATATTTTACTTTCATAAAGATGAGTTTTATCAATATTTAACAAGAAAAACAAAAATATATGTTGAAGAATAATATTATATTTTTCTATTCTAATAATAATTCTTCAAAATTTTAGAATATTTAAAAGTAACATATTAACAGC